AATGTAAACTTCTGAAAACAATGTTATATAAACAAGAAGTTGAGTGGAAACACTTATGATTAATAGCTGTTTGCAATAGATGTTAATTATTTTACTTATGTGTGACTGTTGCTATAAAAATAATTGCTATAAGAAGACGTTGCAATTTCAACAAAATATTATACTGTTCTTTATTGTATACATGTATACAATATCATTTATTTCTTAATTATGTCGTTGACATGAGGTGACAGCGCGATTAAAAATTAAACGCGCAGGGTCTAGGTTTGAAAACGCTGTTATATATGTGATAAAAAATGTGCATATATGGTTTTATTTTGAAGCTGAGTAATTAATGAATTGTTAGTTTATACTACTTTTTATGACGTTTAACGCTTGTAGTATTATCCGGAGAGATGATAATTCGGTGATAATAAATAGGGTGTTCTGATGTTTCGTGATTTTTTTTTGCGTGTGTTTAGCGACGGTGGGGCAATGCAAATATGGTTAGTGTCGTGTTCCATGTATACAAATGGAGCTTTAAATATGGAACATATTGCGGGGACGGCGTTAGCAGGAAGTGTCATGTAGTTGGGACCCAAGTGAATTGACCCCTTATTAACGGCCCATTATTTAGCAAAACCACTGTTCGGCTCCCAAAGGATATTACGACACACACACACATACTTTCATGTATACGTACAATCTCTCGCTTATTCTCTGTATTTCGATAATACGATCCTAAACACTGATAACAATCCTCATCAAGTTCACCCTCACTCATCTTCCTCGTGTTCTCCGTCATCCCTTCCCCAACCTCCCTTAAACCATGGAATTGAGTGCAAGATGAATCGCAGCTGATAAAGGGATGATTGACACGCGACTACCCTTCGGGGCTCTCATTTTATTCACGGAGATTTATGATACGCATTGATGCACTCGAAAATCCTTCGAACATATTTCAATAATAACTTTTCATATATATCTATTGAAAGCACTGCTGTTTTGTCATATAATCATCTTAATTGCTTATTTAATATGATATGATAAACAACAATGCAAATTGCATAAGAACAAAGATTTTGGAACTTAAAATTTAATAAAACGTTTTCTTCTAGGTTTAATTAAACATAATAAGAAACATTCATTTGTGCTGTAATAAAATATTAAAATTTAAATAATAAAAACACAAGTTATTCTCATCTCATCTCATGAAAGTACGGAATTACGTAACATTGAAAATATTTGTTTCTTAATGTTATGAACATATTTTCTTTTCATAAAACTCTTAACTAATATTCAATTCAAATATATACCTAATTCGGATTTCGTGTAAATCTATTATTTCAGTAATAATAATCTTCTATTTCTATATACATTGCATAGTTTGTATTCAATATAGTCGGGTTTGAAAATTTCAAAAGAAACTAAAGTCAATGAAACCAAATTATAATAAATTTTCAAAAAAATCATTCCTTAATGTTACTCTTGAAATCAAAAATCTTCGTATATTTTTCACATTTCCTGTAACGTTCTTCAAGAAATGATAAATGGTTTTTGAAATTTGTTTTATATTGGAAATGTGATGAATAATAAAGTTTTTATTTGATCGTAGATATATGTACGAAAATGCGTTATTTAATTAATTAGTAGAAAAGATTTAATGTCTTTCAATCAACAACAAATTCTTAATGTTTTATGTAAATTTTGTTGGAAAATGTTGAAAATATTTTTTATTCTTTATAAAAAATTCAAATATTCATTCAATAAAATATTATTCATTTTTAAAACTATATAATATTTGATGAAATTGGAGTATTTCGTTTTTATACTAGCTAACATTGTTCATTTAAATAAAACGTCAAGAATTATTATATAAAATAATATTAGATTAAATATTGATAAAATATCCAATAAAGTAGTAATTGACAAGAATATCATTGTTTTTGGTGAGGAAAAAAACTAGTAGAGGGATTTTAATATCATCTTCTGGGATTTATCGCATATAAATTTGGTCAAAACCCCGAACATATTTCAATTACGCTTTATCTAGAAGACGTTCCATCCGCCTCCGACTCACCTTTTTTTTTACTTCTATTCTCAACCTCTTCTTGCATTGCTGCATGCGGCTGCGGTCCGAGCACATATAAATCTTACTCACGAATAGCATACGCAAGTAAGTAATAAATATTGCAATAAACTTCTTTTCATATAAGAATTGTACTTTATGGGTCCATATATTTTCCTAAATATTCCGTATCTCGCTCTTATTTTCCATTTAAGTCGGCAGAGCCTCGTCGGTGCTCCGCTTCTTCGGCGGTCGGAAGGGTTTGGGGTTTGGGTTGGCCGAGGGCCAAGAAGACCGAGGGATGCGAACTAAAATCCACCCATCACCCCACCAACTCCAACCCCATTCTACTTCTTCTACCGTCGCGGAGTCACGTTTTAATATCATCCGGAGGCTTCTTGCTGCTCTCCCACATTTTGCGGCCGGTCCCCCCCATAAACTTGCCTCGTAAATTTCGAACATTTCACACGCATTTTATGAACGAATTGTTACTGTTATTTACACTTATTCACTGCGCCGCCAACTTTCCTAATTACTAACACTAAATTGATTTAAGCGAAGCAAAATTCTAACATCACACACACATACATAGATAGACTTTCTTCGAACTTTGCAACGACCACTTTCAAACCGTATTCCAATCTGAATCTGCCAACTTTAGTTATTTATTTATCACATATCTTATAAAGATCTAATACTTAAGATGTAAAACATCAAAAACTTAAAGCAATTAACTCTTAATACTTAATATATTTTTACTGCAATTAACAAAAATGTTTTAGTATCATTCATTATAATATAAAGTTTATATTAATTATTCCTATGATACAAATAGTAGAAAATTAACAATAATGTTCATTGAAAATATTATAATTAAAAAGACATTTAGTTCCTTTTATCCTCAACGAAAATAAGTAAATAATGCCGCATAAACTGAAGTTAAGAGTCCTTTGTATGTTATTGTACAATACATTTTGTTTTGTGTAAAGAAATGAAATTCAAATATGAAATTTCTCTTAGAATAAATTCATTAACTAACAACTATTTCCAATAAAGTGGAATTTATTATGTAACAAATATTTTTTATGAATGTTACTAAATTACGTATTTACAAATGAAACTTTTTTTTTAAAAACTTGTATATTGTTTATTTTATTTTTGTTGTCTTGATTTAATATCAATTCATTCAATTTGATACTTTTTTTTAATACAAACCATTATAATTCTATCATTATTGATTAAGTACAATCTGAATGATTTAGTGCATGAATAAATTAAAAGAATAAGTGAAATTAATATAATTCAATTATTAATTGACAATAATTTTTAAATCTATTTATATCACTATCATTTTATTTAATGGTAATTACCAGATAAACAATTTTTAATATAATTTTTTACACTTATCTAGTTAATTGAAATATGGTGAAATAAGTGTATTACATTAGATAACATAACATAAAAATTGAAAGTTAAACTGAAGTTTTTTTTAGTTATATTTTATCAAGTAATTTCTTAAAAAAAAATATTTAATTGTATACTTTCGCAAAGTTTGTAAATGTTTTTATTTTGTATTTCTATTTAGAAATAGTAAAATTGATAGTGAATTGATAATTCTCTCATCAAACAGAAATTTATTTTAGAAAACTGATAACCATATTGTGGCGACATCTCTACTTAAATGCTTGAATCACAGAACAATAGAACACTCATTTTTTAAAGATTTATTTGTAAATGTATAAAAAAAATAATAGCAAATATAAAAATAAAAGAAATTGTATCGAAATCATTCTTCAGGTTTACTTTTATCCGTGAAAAACTGAAATATAATAAAAGTTAATATGATTTTTGTTTTGTTAATCACATTAATTGTATGTACTATTATACCTTATCCATTAGTATGAAAGCTTCATCGTATTTGCAGGTCCTCAAAGATCGCTTAATCCAATCAGGAAGAGCATTTTTCGTCGCTTGCCTTGCGTACCTTTCATCCAGCAGAAGAACCGAGGCGAAGTCGTCTTTATGCCGAACAGCTCTACCGATGCATTGATTTACAGCTTTCATGCACATATTTTCATAAAATTTATTCCCTGAACCGGAGCCCTGTAAATGATTCATTGGAATAATGCGCGAACAAACATATAGCATTTTCAACATCACCTCTTTCTTATCCAAAAACGACATTTTCTCCTTCAAATCCGGCGCATAAATATTCGCGTACGGCATTCCAACCACAATAACACATCGACCCAAATCGTCGCTAAAGTTCAACCCTTCACTGAGTTTTCCACCTTAAAAACAAATCATAATATTTAGATAAAATTTACTCTAAAGAATAATCACTTCTATTAATAATCAATGGATATAATTAATTAATTACCAACAACGCTGAAGAGCATAGCCGATTTACAATCAGATTTGTAAATTGCCTTGTGATAGTTATCCAAAACCGAATCAACGGATCCCGATTCCTGCGGTTCTCTAAATACGGGTCTACCGAATTTCATGTTCTTCACTTGATCCCAAATCCACGCTTCGTACTTATACGATGGAAAGAAGACAACAATTCCACCTTTAACTTTCCTGCATGTTTCTTGCAACAGCAATTTCACATTTAAACCCTTGAAAATAAAATTATAAGTTTGAAACGCTCAACTTGAAATTGATCCATACCATTTTCCTGCGATTATCGAAATTGAATAAAAGCTTTTCTTCGGCTGGTCCACTCGTGACTATAATTGGAAGAATATTCTTAGGTGGAATGATGTGATCGCAAGAGAACTCTACAATCCTACTCGATTCAGCTCCGGCGTTTATGAAGAGCCTATCTCTAAATTCTGAGATTGGTTTCATAGTACCACCAGCAACAATAACCTAAAGAAAAGAGTAATCATTTATTGTTTGTTTTCATGAACAAATCATACGCACGGATCGCGCTTCTTTCACCACATCAGCAAAGTGAATGGACGGATTCAATAGCAAAAATTGATACTTTTTAACATCACCTCGATGGATCAATATTCTCCCATCTTCGTAAGAATAAGTTAAAGCTTCCAGAAAAGAAATAACCGACAGTAAGGGATTACTAGGAGCTTGCTTAGGTTTCGGTTTCTCAGGAGTTTCGATCTTAATTTCTTCGACAGCTTTACTTTTACCTTAAATTAAATAATAAACTAATTTGTAAAATCGAAATTTTAAAATTTACCTTTAGGCTCAATGCTTTTCAGGAAATTTGAAACTCCTTTCTTTACTTCCTTCTTCACCACCTCCGGTTCCGGAAATTTAATTGCAAAACTATGCAACTGTAAATTAAACATTTAATTCCTAAATATTTGTATACTTATATTAATAACAATTACCTTTTGAGAAATTTTACTATCCTTTGCAAACTTAATCAGCTTAAACATGTTATAATTATCAATTCCAGCTGTTAACACGAAACTAGTAAGAGTGGATATTTCAGTTTTAATATCACCCTTAATTTCAACGTCTCTTTCTAAAATATTTCAATTAATAAGATAATTAATAGATTGAATATTATAGTTACCTAATTCATCTTTTAATGCTGTAATTATATAAATCAATTGATTTATACAAAGCAAATTTTGCGATGAGAACCTAGTGCTGTATTTCGCTTTATATCCTTTCAATTGTTGTTGAGCATGGACTAATTGATTACTGGTTACTTCAGCACTATACATTTGAGCCATAGCTTCCAGCAGATTGTGAGCTTCATCAATAATAACAACATTATTTTTCAACTTGATACCATTAGCTTCTCTAGTCGCCTTATGCAAAATCGTATTATAAGGTACCAAAACAACTTCAGCATCTTCCACAGCCTTCCTACTCGCATAATAAGGACACGCTTTCAACTCTTTACCACTACTTATTAAATCTTCGATATCACAAACTTCTAGCAACGCCACATCTTTCAATTCCTCTATAGTTTGTTGCTTGTAATAAGGACATTTGCAATTTGAACTACTTTTTTGCTTTTTAACAACTTTACCTTCCTCCTTTTTAGTTGCCTTCCCTTGCGATTTTTGCAAATCTAAACACCTACATAATATTACCATTAAGAAATAACCATTTCATCAATAAAACCTCACCTTTCATTGACCAAAGATATATTCTTCAACCTATTAACATCTGGATTTATACAGTAATTCTGTCTGGAACCTAAAGTTACAACTCTCACATCCTTAGCAAAAGGAGACTTGTTGATTTCCCCAATGAATTGGGCCAATTGTGAATGAGTTCTGCTGCAAATAAAGATCTGAAACTTATATTACAATACATAATTTCCACATTTTTAATATAATTACCTTAACTGGAGCATATTTATCCTCAATCTCATCCTCATTCTCCTCTTCATCCACATCAACAATCTCAGCAAGCAACAGATCATCCTCTAAATTATCACTCTTTTTCTCACCAAACTCATCCACCTCATCCTCAACATTTTTAGCTTTCTTAAGATACTTGCTTCTATCCAATTTATATTTTTTCTTCTTTTTCTTCAGCTCCTCAATTTTCTTATAATAATTCTCAATTTTATCAGATTCCAATTTCAACTCATTCAGTTTTCTTGTTATCGAAATTTCCTTTGCCTGAGATGCTATCCAATCATCCTTACTTGCTTTTAGTAAATCCTTCTCACTATTTGCTTCGGATATGTTCCCTTTGATAACCTCAAACTCATTCTTATTGTAATCTTTGAGCCATCGTAGAGCACCACAGAGTATGCTCAATGATTTACCCTAAAAAAAAATTAAATTACATTTTGTGTTAATTCTTATAAAATATTTTACTTACAGTTCCTGTTGGACTCTCGAAAATACCGAATTTTCTGTTCTCCAAAGTTTCAAATAAATTCCTCATAAACTTATCCTGTATATTGTATGGGGTGAAAGGAAAATCAAATTCCTCTGGTGTATTTAAATGATTCATTCTTGATTATAACAATTAGTATTTGATATGTACTTGATTCAAAATCTGCTGTAGGTAAAGATGTAAACAACATTTATATAGGCATCACTATGTACATGATGTAATATAGGTGATCTATATAAAAATAATTTGAATTAAAAATAGTTACTATTTTACTTTATTCAATATAAATTTGTCCAAAATATGTATTACAAATTTGTATAACAATTCAATTTAATTTATTAATTAATACATTTTAGATGAAAATATTGATCGATTTTAATCATGTTATATTTGTAAACAAATATTAAGTAACAAACAATATTATTGTTACTTAACTTTTTGTTTTAATTAAAGAAAAATCAGATAAATAGAAAGCAATTGTGTTAAAAACTAAATATTAAACATAAATATTTATAAAGAAAACGTGTGAAGTTATTTTCTCTTCATTGAATTAACATCTTCTGATTATTCAGAAAGTCATCAGCGTTGATGATTTCAATACACACAAATATTTCTTAATATTTTAAATTAACCATAGTGTATTGTTCTTTCTTTAACAAAGTTATATTAACTAGTGTAGGTATATTTATATTATATCATGGTAATTTAGTAAAATTGAGCCAAATTTAAAATTTTATTCTGATTTATAAACCTCTTATTTGCTCCACTTCATACATCATTTTTTTCATTAAATTATTAAAGTAATTATACATATAAATGAAAAATATGCTTATACAATGTATTTATCAATATTTTGCATCAAATCAGAAATAATTATCACAAAAATATCGAAAACGATAAACGTATTTCGATATTTCTGTGATAAATGCGTTCAATAATAGATTGTGCAAATTATAGATACGATTCAACACTAATTAAATTGGTTCCTATCTTCATCAAAGAATCAGTAAAAATAATATATATAAAAAAAAATAAAGAAAAAAGACACAATTAAATAAAGTAACTGTTATCGCTCCTTATATTAAACTCCTTTTATAAATAACGTTCGCAGTCTGAACTTAACGGCAGTCTGTGATTAACAACACGAACAGGTGATATTTGCAAGAACCAAAGAGGAAAGAAAAAAAAGTTTAATCGAGTACCGAAATCTTGAGTTGATCATAAGGAGAAGATTTGAAGAAAAAATATAGCGGACTAACGGTAAAACCTTGACGGACGAAGAGGTGTCTTAGAAAAACACAAAAAAAACAGGTCATCAGAGTACCTCCCAAACGTTCACTGCATACAATAAAAACTTGAAGTCGGCCGCTCACGGTTTCACTTTTACGCTCACAACGTTCAAACGCGCATCGTGCTATTATTCGAACATCATGAGGAGCGCAACTTTTGTTTTGTTGTTTGCATTAGCATGTGTTTCGTTTGCTGAAGAAGAAAAGAAGGTAAGGTTTTACTTTTGATTTCAAGTTGATACGAATTTAATAACTCTGCAAGAAACTGTGATTAATGCTTTAAATACTAGTATTATAATTACATTACGTTTCATGTTTTGGAAAGCATAAACAACTAGTAATTAAGAGGGATAATGATTTATAGGAAAAAAGTACAATACAAATTGTAGAGCTATTAAAATGGATGGATTAATTACAAAATAATTTTAAAAAAATGATAAAAATCGTATAATAATTGTTGCAAACAACAAACATATTTTTAAAATGGAATGCATCACGCTCATAAATTATGAATTTTCCAAGTTGTTTTCACTGATAATATGTATATGTTAGTTTATAGTGGATATTATACACATTATTTATTCAATATTTCTCAATTTACATTTTCAATACAAAAACTTATTTATTTGTTTAATTATTTATATAAAATACAACTGAATTATATTTACAAATTAACTTCAATAATGTTACTCTAGTGTAATATATTTGAAATATTTGGTGATACTTTGCCAATTCAGAAGAAAAAATAGAGTACAGAATCTTGGCACCAAAGACACATTCACTTTATACAAACAAATGTAGCAATTTCTCATTCAGTTTGTTTATTAGAAGGTAGACTTTGAACAAATATTATTACATTAATTGTTCAGAATGTATAGAATTATTTATACAAAAATAATTAAATAATTGTGCTTGCATTATTTTTTTATTTGTTTTCTTATGTAATTTCTATATAGATTTTTATAATAATCTTTAAACATTATTACTATTAACCTTGGTGCTGGTTATCTCACTTTGTCTGTACACTAATATATTTAAATACTAAATTACTACGCGTTTTTTTATTAGTATATTTCTATTTTATAGTGAATGTTTAATTGTATTATATTTGTTTTCTTTCTTTAACTTCTTCAATAGTTTCTCATTAATTTTATCATTATTTATAAGTTAATTGAATCTTATAATACTTAAATTGACTATACGTTTAGTATAGTTCTTATATATTTTTCAAATAAAGATTAGATTAGTCATCTAAAAATTTATTTTTGGATTAAAGTAAAGATATAGATTTCATTACTTTAATCCAATCTCGAGCTATAAATATTTTTATAGCGCTTCGTTTAAAATATAATTTAGATTAAGTAATACTCGACAACTAACATCTTATTCGGTTTTTAAACTGTGCAAATAGTATAAAATTGTAAGAAAAGATCATCTCAGTTTCAATTTCTCACAATGTTTACTCATTATCTATGATTTCATTCAAAGAAATGTGATTAGCTAAGTAGAAATAGCTTGTTTTTCAATTAACTCTTAATAACATCGAGATTACGTACTTCATAATAACAAATTGACAGACATAAAAGTGACACATAGCGTTTTCGTTGGAAACTCAGCAAATTGTCCACTTTTAACCTATTGAGTGCCCGATACTTGATAAGCATTTTTTTGTTTGCGATTTGTAGATTTTACATACCCGACAACCAACAAAAGTACTTCCTAAAGAAGTTATAGTATTAATTATTGTTTTCAATTAACTCTTAATAGTTGTCAGATTACAAACTTAAAAAAAAACAAATCGACAGATTTAAAGTCGGCAGACTAATAGTGTTTTCTTCCGAAATTCATCAAATCGTTAATGCTTGTTTTTCAATTAACTTTTAATAACATCTAGATTGCGCACTTGATAATAACAAATATAGAAGTGATAGAGTTTTCATTGAAAACTCAACAATATTCGGATTAAAGTTAAGCTAGGTTCCACTGTAGTCATTATCTACATACATCAATACCTCGTATAGTGCGGCTTCGATCAGTGCGGATTCACTGCAGTACGGTTTGAAAATTTCACAAAAAAATAAATATTAATTGAAAAGAAAAATACACAAAATTATTATAAAATTATAAAAAAATGTTATACATAAATCATCAATTCTTTCCTCTATACCTGTGGTTCCCAACTTTTTTTGTGCCTCATCGAAGCCTTTCTAAAATTATTGTTAAGACTTTTTGTGATGTTTATTTTTATGCGGTTTTCAAATCTTCCATTAGTCCGGTTTGAAAAAAAGTGCGATTACCCGCACTATGCGAGGTATTACTCCATTTATATATTAATATGTAAACTACAACCATATTTTATACTTATTGCATAATTTTACGATAAAAAAAACTTTTATGGAATGCAATGAAATCGCACATATTCTTGGCAAAACACTTGTATATTCCGAATAAAATGAATGTAAACAACAGAAATTTTAAATAAGACCAACATTTTTGTTTTGTCTTACACAGTTAAATCACTTTAAATGTTAATAATAGAATGATTTCTATTAATAAAAGCTGACTAAAAAATAGTATTAATTAATTTTAAAAAATAACGGAAAACAAAAAAATGAAAACAGTTAAAATCACGAAAATAACGGTTAATTATTATTAAATATTATTCGAGGAATCATTTAGGATATTAGTTGATATATGCTCTATATAAGTTTTTTTTTCAAAACACACTTAGATTTCCGCGACAAATTTGTCTAAACTTCCATGGCATACTTTTTTTATGCATTTATTGTGCTTTGAAAAACAATTGAATTGCTTGTGTTTTGTCTTTGAAATGATTGTATCAGATTTGATTGACCAGTTAATATGAAATATGTATATAATTAAAAAAAAAATCTATATGAAAAAATAATTATACCAGGAAATGGAATGAGAATTACACATATAATTATATAAATTATGGCAGTAGCATTTCCATTAATTGAATAAACAAGAAATAATGTGTTACAATTACATTAAATTATATATACGTAATAATTATTTAGTAAGTCAATTAATTTTCGAATTTCTTTCGAAGATTTATTCACACATATACTCGAATAAAAAAGTTTACAACAAAGATGACAATATCAAAAAAAAAAGATAATGACAGTAATCAAAAAGGGTTTCTGGTTATGCAATGTGTGTCACGTAAACATACATAAAACTGTTAAGTAACATGAAACATTCATTAACAAACACAATTGCATAAGTCAAGAGGATGCACTTTCTCTTTATATCGTATACCGGTTTCCTCGCTATTCATTAATTAAGTTCGGGGTGTTAAGAATAAGAAAACATAAAAAAAATCCACAACCGACATAATCCTCTCTTATCTTCCATTGTTTTTTTTTGTTTTTGTCGCTTTACGTCAACATTTTACCTCGATAAATGAAACGGTCTACGTGCATTTAATGTTTCACTTGTTTGCAGAAGGCGTTCGCAACTGTTTGTAATTTAAATGGTATTGTTATTATCATTACGATCGTTTCGAGCTCCACTTGTGATTCATTCAACCTTGCAGACTTAAAATCAATTCTGCATTACTATAAATAATTGCTAATGAAACTTATATTAAATCTAGAATGGAATAGGAATTGTTTGCATATTACGAAATATGAACGTACAAGTTCGCTAAATATAAAAAGTAATGACCTTTATGCAACTCCTAAAAACGAACCTTACGTTTTAAGCACAATCTAATCTGCAAATACATTTTTTTTGTGTGAAAAACAAACAATTTTCGCTTATCGGTTCAACAATAAAAATTATTTAATATCTATTTTTAATATATATATAATATATATTTTATTTATAGAAATCATTAAGTAGGTACTTAACACAGAGTTGATTAAAAGTACTTTAATATCAGAAAAAAAATAGTGATAATTATATGCAACAAATCTACTAATCAATAAACATTGTTCTGAGAAATGTAATTTTAAACAGAATTTCACGTCATCTTGAATTATACATCGTGTTAGATGTGATGATATTTATGTTATCTGCTTTTAAATCTCTTTATTTCTATTTTTCTATGAAAATCAGTCAGTTTTTAATAATATTTATAGGAACTGTATATTACCATTTTCCATTGTTAGGCAGATGTGTTTATTTGTTGCTCTTATATTTTGTTATATAATACAGAGTTTCATTGCAAACTTAATTGCTGCCTAAAACCCTTAATACGGCCCTGTCTCCTATAATGCGATTTCTATATAATAATTAGTAAGTACAAGAAGTATTTCTGAAAGAGACTTTGAAATCTAATGTTTAGATCAGTGGTTTCCAAACTTGATGTTACTACGCCTCCCTTAAAACTATTTAATCATTTAGCGCCTTCCCTCCCCACTCCATTTCATAAAATAGATAAAACTTTAGCAGTCGTTTGGAAAATTGCTCACTGTGACTAATATTCGCGCCTCCTCTTAGACTAGTTTGGAAAACGCTGGTTTAGATGCATTGGGAAACAAAAATATGGACAAAGATTGGATTGACAATATCAATTTGAATGACGAGAAAAAGGAACCTGATTTGGGTATAGACTTAGGTTTCTATAGAACGCGGAACGAAATAATCTTATTTTACTAATTTTGGGACTCTTATAACACGTTTTCCAGTTACGTGATGAAAATTAATCGTGTTATAGGAAGGTTGACTGTAGTATTACATATTAAATAATTACTAGAATATATCAAGTTCTTGGATTATATGAATCTATATAAACACGTTAGATTCATTAGAGCAGTGTTTCACAAACTATGTTATGGAAAGTTAATAGCTGATAAGTTCAAATTTAGTATTACTTTATGTAAAATGTTTATAAGGGAAATAATTCAAAGATATGTTTTTTTGCATTCTTTTTATTTCTATTGCATATTTCAGCTCAAATTCTTATTAGGATGTTCATAAATCATTTAAGTTATATTTTATTAATTTATAGACAATAATTATTAATAGATGTGTAAAACGAAAAATGTAAAGCTTTTCAAAGAAATAATTTTGCTAGTTTTGATAAATTGTATTGAATAACTTCTGATGAAAATAATGATTTGTTTTGTTGCAGTTGAAGATTGGTGTTTACTATGAATCCCTGTGCCCGGACAGTTTGAGATTCATCACGAAGCAATTGAATCCATCATGGAGCGACGTCTCCGAATACGTAGACATCACCTTCATTCCATTCGGTAAAAGCGAGGTAAAAACAGAGTTTATCCATCGAGACCAGAATCTAATTACTATGTATTTTCAGAGCGTAAAAGACGGTGAATACTTTAGGTGTCAGCATGGACCGGAAGAATGCAAAGGAAATCGCATCCAATCCTGCGCCTTGGACGCTTTAACCGATCAAACCAAAGAAGTTGAATTTGTCAACTGTTTCATGACCGAATACAACAAATACTCCGACAAAGACTTCGGCGAAGTGGTAATAACGCAACGAACTACAATATATACAAAATCATGCTAAATCATTGTTGATACTTTTAGTGCATCGAAAACGCCGGATTGAAAGTTGAAGACGTCAAGAACTGCTTCGATTCTGATAAGGGAAAAGAACTTCAATTGCAAGCGGAGAAAGACACGATCGCAATCAGTCCCAAATTCGTTCCCACAGTTGTTTACAACGAGGTAAGAATCCTTAAATTTTCATGACGAACTTTTGACTCATTTAATTCCGTGTTCAGGTTTTCGACCAGAAACTGCAGCAAGACAGTATGACCGACTTCAAAGGGACCGCCTGCAAATTAATTAAGGAAAACCACCCAAACGCCTGCTAAATAATACACGTTGTGCTTTAAGAATGTCAGATTTTATTTAATAAAGAAAACACGTCTTAATATGTAAATAAACACATTACTAAAAAATAATACAATACTGTAACGAACGTACGTACATACACAAAAAAAAGTATTAAGAGAAAACATTATATATAAAAAACTAAATAAGTGTAAAATAAGTCAGAGGCTAAAATACAATACTGGAGAGTGAAACTGTAATACTTTAAAACCTAAAAAAGAGCAATACTGTGCGTAATATGAAATAAAACTTAACTAAATATGTCAAACCCAGATTATTTTGTTTATGGTCAATGTGAGGAATATGTCAGCTAATTATTTTCTAATAATTCCTCTGCCACGACCTGAAAAGAAAAACATACGGTCAGTTATAATTAGCATGAACTTAATAAGAATTGCAGTCACGCACAAAGGGTTTCAAATCATAATTTATAGAAAGATGTGGACGCAACTAGTTAATTCATATAGTTATTAAAGGATGTCAAGGTAGTAGGATTGAGGATTGTTATGTAATTTCCGAGTCATAATTGTTGACTTTTAAATTACTGAAGTAGTGACAGGTAAATCAATTCAACAATTAACTTTGAAATGTAAAAAAAAGAAGATAATTACCGCTTCCCAGAAAATTATACATTCCGGAAACACTGAGCGCTGAAAAGTAGATTGGTAAATTATTAAGTATTCAATGAATTGTTATAAAGTTTACGAACAGGTAGTGGTTGGTCTTCGCAATGGTGCAAAACTACCAGAAGTAGATGGTCTACCAGCCACAGCCATTTGGGAATATGTTACGTTTTCCCTACGTGGTGATGATAAGTTATTACGCAAATCCTGAAACAAGCGTGAATTAATATAACAAAGGACAAAAAATAGTACGCTCTATTACAACTATATCATCGCTATCGCTCGACTCCGTTTCAGGCGCGGCGACGCTTAGCTGATTTATTCTTCTCTCCAGAAACTCCTCGTCCTGAAAAAAATGAGATTATTAAACTATTTTTAATTAATTCAATTAATTTAAACTAGCTGACCTACCCTACGAACATCGGCTGGTTTTACGCACAAACTGTTGAAGGGAATATGTCTTCCTGGTTTCATCGTGATGTTCCAAGGAGCGCAACAATTATCACAGATGATGTAAACCATCCTCGTCACGATACATTCGCTGCAGTAAATGAATGCCGAAGTATCTTTGTGATACTGAAAAGCAAACGATTTTTAGAAACGAGATGATTTATGAATAAACCTACATACCGGACATGACAGATTTGGAATGCAATCGTACGAATCCTTTTCGATTTCCGTTATGCTTTGAGACAATGATGGCCATACTTCTCTATGAGCGTTACGCAATACGAAGAAGAAATATTGCAAGGAATATATACGAAATGCTTGTCTGTCAATAGCTGTAAATATATATATATATATATGAAAACATTACACATAATGCACATAAATGGATTACTATGATTTAACACCATTATACAGACAATTATTTTAAATTAAATGATTCACTGGTTGCCTGTACTAAAGCTGTAATTCATAAAAAAAAGAACATTTTTTGTACTAAACTGTATGAAGATTACTTTTTTTGATTTATTTTTCATACACTTCAAATCAAGTGTAAATAATTTAGCAAAAAATATTGTAAATTCAATTCTTCCTTTTCAGCTATTAAATATAATTCCTATACTTTAATTATTAGTGAAAAGTAAAGGAACAGTATACTTACAATAATCTGCACAGAGTTGATTTAAAATCTGATTTGTTTCAGTTTTGTCACAGTCTCGAACAAAAATGGGTGGATATTCCTTGGTGGTTGAATTCTGATTAGCCTGCAACAATATTTAAATAAATAACTAATTTAAAAAAACCAGTTAAAAGAACTCACAGCCATTATCTCATACAATTTGGAAATGATAAATTTTAAATTGCACTCAGAATCAATTGTTGGTTCAGGAATTTGGTGGGTTTCCCCAGATTTCTGTCTCACTGTCAGAGTGTATCCAATTGGAATACGGCCTGAAACATATGCAATCAACATGTTGAAATATAGAACATATGTTTTACAGATTTATTACCAGGTTGGATTATACTGGAGAACATATTGCCATCCTCTATGCCTTCATTTAAATTAAACCTAACCATTGCTACCTCAGCTGGATAGTGTTTTTGGTTGGAGTCACAATAGCAAAAGGTATTGAAATGCAGTATATGGAAATACTCACTGGTCAGTGCTGCAACAATGAATGTTACATGTTAAAAATTAAGTAAATTACAAACTTCCATGTGCACTTACTGTTGCTCTGAACAAGTTTGTTTATTAGATGCTTCATGTCGTTCTGATTTTTTAGGGTAGCCTCCTTTTCTTCCCTTTCAAGACGAATCATATCATTCTCCAAGTTCAGGTTCGGATTTGCATCGCGTTTCGCTTTCTCCTGGTACGGCAACCGTTCCTCGGGAGTCATCAACTATAGAAGAAAAACGCATCGTGAGAATCAAATTGAACTTATATTGCCATCAACTTACTTTCCATCTTTTATCCGCCTCGTCCTGTGCGTATGCCAAACTCTTGTAGCGCTTTGCAGTCTTCACGTACTCAAGGAAATAGTAGAAGGCACTCTTTTTCTTGTATTTCGGCGGCATGTTTGCTCTTAATACTTACTCTGACGACTATAAAAATTTTCAACAAAATCGCTTACTCATATGAAACAAAAAAATTGCCGATCAAGTAGTTTAAAAAAGTTGGTTCCGCTTGAAATTGCTGCCAACTTAAAGAAAACCGGAATAAGTTAATTCCGTATTAACTTATGCGTATTTCGTCTATCTATTAATAGGAGTTAAGTTTCTTCAGCTACAGATTACGTAAGTTCTGTATATTATAAGCATTTTATCAAAAACAATTTTTAAATAATTTTGTTTTTGACTTTTAAGTACTATATTTCAGTATATTTTAAGAAATCTGTAAATATTATCGTTTTCAGATATTCGAAAAGCTGTAACCTTGAAGATGTAAACATTGGATTTCTGAAAGATTTTTTTATTTCATATGTAAATGACGCACGGAAATTTGGTAATACTAAACACATGGAATACGGCGTTGTCGATGTTTGGCTTTCGTTTTATTAGGTTTGCAAATTTACTTTAAACTGTTTTTAATTATTAATAAATAATAATTATTTGTAGCTTATGCAAAGTATTTTTCTTTGTAGATACAAGAAAACTATGGGATTATATTTGAAACGCTTTGATGTGATGGTAGACAGATAATCTTGGCAACGTCGCACGTTGCATCTGTCAATCATTTATTTTATTTTTTTTCGTTGCTAAATGTTTAGTCTGTGTATTTACAGAGTGTGTTGTGTGCGTGTGCGGTGTATCTGGATAGGATTTGGTATAAAGAAAACAATAATAAATGGGAATCGTCGTGTGGCAGGACCAGGACGAGTCGCAAATGGATGGCAGATGTAATAATTGAAACGTTGGAGAGGAAAAAATGAATAATTTAATTAATGCAACAACGTGATTGAATTCACACGACCCAGGGAAAACGCTCTTGCACTTGCATTAAGAAAATCGCAGATACCTGAATAAAAAGGATTACAGGCAATGCTTGCTTGCTTGCTACCCCAGTCATTAGATTAAATCAACCCCCGAGATGGGTCTCCACTGCATGCACCAATGATGTGCGAATGGTCTGGTGAGCACACACAGATAACTCAAGAGCAGGTGCTGCTGTCCGAAAGAATTAACTAGCAAAGTTAACACACACACTTATTTTTTACCAGTGACTTTAGCAGCAATATACAGATTTATCAAAAGAATCAACAATAAGATGGAAATGATTAAACCGATTCTAGAGTAAGTATACCTTTCTTCAACTTAAATCTTTTACTAATCGACAAATGTTATATTATTGCAAGCTCACTTAATTCATAATTATTTTTAGATAACTAAATGTTGCATAATTTCCCATTCACTACAAAGTCTTGCACAATTCTAGGAAACATTCACTTCAATTGCATTCGATTATTAATTTATTATTTATTTTTGTGCTGACACTGAAGTGCAATATTCAAGTGCATGTAACACTATAATTTTCCAACATTGACAATTTCTCAGGCGAAATTGAAGATAAAGAGAAAATAAATGACTATAATAATTATCATTAGCAATAATAATGGTAAATTGTTTTTGAGTGATGCCACTGCAAGGTCGTTTGCTGGTTATATATTTTCTTTGTATTTTCCGTAACCGTATTACTTTCATATTCCATCCTAATAACGTTAACATTTACAGCAAACTGCAAGCATAATCATATCATATTGGACCAAACACTATTATTTTATTTTTTTTTTCCACTAGCTTTCTACACGATAACATAACTGAAAGGCCATTTGGCTGTTGACTTTGCACGTAGATTTCTCTCAAGTTCCTTATATAATCCAATCGCTGCCAGAGAGAGTAGAGGAGGTACACAATCGCGTAGTTATGTCGTATACTATTTTTTTTTCTCAGTATTTATCTGTTATGTCACAATCGATTTTGCAATCGATTATCAATTTTCTATTTTGTAATTTAATGTCAAGGCGCATGACTCACTGAGAGCAAAAGTCTAATTTTCATAAATCGGCGGATCACGATCTGATGTATGGTAGAACTTTCGACCGGCTAAAGTTCAATAGCCGTTTAGCTTAAAAAAAAGAGTAAATAAAGTACATTTCGTTCGAAAGTTTCATCTGCAAATGTTTGAGACAATCGAACTTTTTGATTTCACCAATCATGTACTTTTTTTTTATTCTTTTGAAAATGATTGCTTTCAAATGAATTGCTATTGTTTTGTTCTTGAATCCGCGCTCGCTCTGCCCTTGCTCTTCTCACATCTTCAAAGGCGTTATTTATAGACATTTGTAACGTATAGTAATATTGTAAACTAGTTAAAAATTAATCTAGTTAAGATTATAAATTAATGATAATTTATCTTTGATCACAACATTCATTCGGCTCGTAGAATCAATAAATATTACCGGCAATGGATTATCCATTGTGGTGGCAATAAAGAAGTGATCTCAACGCGATGTAAGAAAATAAATTATGTTGCAAAATTTTCTTTATTTAACCCTAATTCATTACGTTAATTCATTAAAATTGATTACTGAATTTATTCATATAATTACTTCAAAATTACAAATAAATTGTGACTATAAAAAGTAACACCTGTAAATAATTAAACAAAAAATACTATTGATATTTTATTACTTATTTTATTAACGACATAATTATATCTAAAATGCGACGTTAATTTATATCATTGAATTAATATCAGTTGTTACAAATTACAATGAACTTGCGACTTGATTAAAGTCTGTAAACAAGGAAAGGAAACAATTTGCTATTGATATTTATGTTGTGTTGCTACGACAATTTTTAATTTTGTCTAAAGTGCTATGATAATTAATGATCAATACAGTTACTGATGAATTAATTTAATTTATTTGTAACTACAATGAACTCGTGGTTGTATGAAAATGAAAAGCTTGTAAATAAACAAGTGAAGCATGTAATTTACTATTCATAATGAACGTTGGGGAATCTATGAATTAAATCTACGTGCAATTGGAAGTATGCCACACGATTGTAATGACATTTCCATGTAATTTTGAAAACGCAATCCAAATTGTCAGTGCTGATATCAGATTTCGATCGTAATCAATAACAACAGCGACACATTCGTTTTTTTTCCTTTCTCGCTAATCATTTATCAGAAGCATCAGCCTGTGCAATGTTTTCCTTGCTCAAGTAAATATCCTTGTTATTCAATTTTTGATTATTATTACTTTCTATATATATAAAAAAAAATGTAATCGCTGAAGGAGCAGACAAAATATTTGAAATCCGCTTTAGATAGGATGAACTTGACCTAGAGCGAATCGAAAACTATACGCGCTGCATTCGGAGATCCCCGTACAGTGAACAAGGACGAAGCGAACATATTCGCAATGTGCAATTACGCAATGTTTTCCTCATGTTTTTTTTTCGTTTAAATTTATTTTTAGTATCTGCGATTGCACGCTTTTGAATAATTCATATTGCAATGTTTCTCTATTATTCCTTTCTTCATTTACAGGCAAATATATTTGGTTCCGAGGGCTATATTCCGGTTAGGTTTCATAATTGTGAATAACGCGTACTGCGTGCCCACGTACGTAGTATGGATGATCCTGCTATCTCCTCTGAGGAAAATCAATCCGGAGACATTCTGGAAGATCGAGGGATACTTTTTCCATTGGCTACTGGCCATGGTCTCGATGTGGAGCTGGTCGGCCGGATACGATGGTAAGATAACTCATTTCAATTGTATTGTAATAATCGTATGTAAACTTTGCCTCCGCTTCGATGCAATTTTAACGAAATGAAGGTGCGATTGTTTATAACCGATGGTCTGATTCCAATCGTGTTTGTCATTGTTTTTAATAACACTTATTTACGAGAAAAATAAATAGGTATCATTAAAGTTATTAAAGTTTGATATTGTCTCCGGGAATATTTTCATCTCAGGTCAATTTATTGATGTACCATTCCTTCCCGAGAGTCTTATAACTTGGTTATATGGATATTGAATGAAATTGATACATAAAAAAGTTATTCTCTTTTCCATCTCCAAAGCTAAAGTAAATCTGCTATCTCGAGTCTAATAATTTCGTTTAAACTTTGCAAATACTGGTATTTTCCAGTATATTACTCCTTAAATAACCTTATGTGACATGATAAAACTGTTCTTTGTTTGACTTTGAGACAGAAACTCTGCATCCCTGCGAGTCTTTATATTATAGTTTAGTAAATGTTAGGGCTTCGATTAAGTTGGGAAATTAGGAAGATGGTATGTGCGTTAGAGAGGAAACTTTATAATTGGTATTAATTGCGTTGTCTGTGCTTGCAACAACTTTTGCTAACATTGATCTTGGTGCCATAGCAAAATGTATATTCTAATTGTATTTATTATCTCATCTTTAAATTAAAATACCAAAGGATTTTAACTCTATTGTTCAAAGTTACAAATATTGTCGAAGTATTTTCAGAAAAAATATTGTAAGATTTGTGATTTTAACAGTGCTAAATTATAATTTTGTGGAAAGTAATGACATTTTAAGTGTGCTTATTTTAAATGATTGTTTCCAAGTGGTTGCTTATGTAGACTAAACGAAATTAAACGATCAGTTTTGCACGAGTTTGTAAGTTAAGTTAAATTTATTGTATAAACTATAAATACATTTAATATCTCTGTTGACAGTAGGATTTCCGCATATTGAAATTGTATTTATAATATATATTTTTGTAATGTTATTATTAATGTTATAAACAAATAAGTAGACTCTAATGATGATTTTTACTGAAATACTAGAAAATTATAACAAAATCAATGACTGTAATATATTCACCCTTCTGGTTACTAAAGTTTCCAAAAGTGTGGCTTCAATCAGTGCGGTTAGGAGAATTTAATTCGAACTAAATTTTAATTGAGCAAATTAAAAATAAATTCTAAAAAATAGTACACAACGTACATCGGTTTTTTTCTCTATGTATCCATGTTCATCTATGTATCCATCTGCATAAAAATATGCAGATTTAAAGTCCTCGATTAGTCCGGCTTCAAACAGTGTGGGATATTGGCGGAACTGCTAGACCGCACTATGCGAGGTATTGCTGCATACAGTTTATAAAATTGGAATAAATGTAGTTGTTGGATTGTATCAGGTGTTTAGACCGTTATGTAACTTTTCGATAATCTTATATGTATAAAACGGTCTTGGCAAGTGAATGAAACGTGAAACTGCATCCAAACATCACCTGAGTGTAACGACAAAACGCTCTTTCTCTCTTTATACATACATATCAAGGTTCAAATTTACCAGAACAAACAATTTGTTTAATATTTATGTAACACACAACCTTTAAACTTTAAGAGCGCAGTAAAATTCAAGCATCTAAATCAAGTACATTATTAAATCACCTGCTCTGCGCTGATAAAGGGAGATTTCGTGCTCGGAACTCTGTACACCAAAAATCAAGTTTGCAGTCTCTTAAATATTCAGTGCTTTTTCAGTCTGCTTTTTATTTGATGCGCTACTTAATTCGCAATATTTAATTATAATTATTTCTAATGGCTACCGAGGGAGAATGAAAATTAATACGGCGTCACACTCGTTTCCACATTATCCTGGCTCCGGACATCCACTTAACCCACTTCATGTAATGCGAAATAAAAAATCAATGCCGACATATTAATATGTAACAGTGTGTGCTTGAAATGTGTGGACATTTGAGTGGATTGGTCTCATTTGCAGGCAGACGTTTTTTCTTCTATTATCTATATTGTTTTATCCATTTTTATGTACTTTTCCAGATTCACGTTTTTAGGAATTATTTGTTGGATAATGGATAAACAATATATACATAGTGAGCGTTACCATACACCCGTTTAACGTATGTTAGATAATATTTTAGTGATTATTTACGGTACTCTAAATGAATTAACGTACACAAATCCGTGTGAACGTACAGTTGGACCAGACTATCACACGGCAATTTATGTACGTTATCTACGGTTTTTCGGTTAAAAAAATAAAGTATCATCACTGAATCTGTTCTTAACTGGTTTCTGTCTGCTCTAAAATTAGCGAGGTAGTCAAGTGAGTCACTCGTAAACATCGAATATCAGTTTGGGTTTAAATTCATGGAATACAATGATTCATTAATCGATGGACGTAGTTTATAAATTTTTCGCATGGTCACCAAATAATATAAACGTATATGAAAGATTTAATAAAAAATTAAGTATTAGATAAAATTGAAATGATGCAATATGTATCCGAGTAATTAAGTAAAAAAATAAAGTATTGCTATCAGGCTGTATATTCTTATCGTTGAAAGAATTCCATGGAATCTCGAAATTAGTGCATTCACTGTAATTCAATTCTGATAATACTCTTTAATCTATACAAGAGAGCCCGACCTTTTATTCTAAATCAAATGAAATAAATTGTGATTTTAGAAGAACAATGGTATTTAATTATAAGCGAATTGAATGGATGTAGTCATTTTTTAACGTTCCGAATTGAAGCCATGTCTTTGTTATTTGATATTATATAATTGTTTGCGATGTTATGTTTTGTAACTTTATTCGCCCATTCGTAAGATCTTAAAAATGTAAACTTATTACTATGGCTTTAATTTCATTTTTCTATAAATATTAAGAAGATTTTTAGTAATTAGTAATTTAAAATTATGAGAAAAATAACGTAACTATATAGATAAAGAAAATAATGAAATAATTTTAATAATTGTGGACTTTGGAATACGTGCTTTGGTAGATAACGAAATTAGGAAATTAATGCAAGTGTGTGAAGGTCGTGGTTAACTAACATCGTTTGCCCAGCGCATCCACTACATTAAATGTACATTTTAAATATTAGTTTACTTTGAAGATTTACTTACTTATCATGAGCAATATGAACTACTGTTTGGATTACTTACTTAGTCGAATTGAGATAGTGGATGTCACTTTCACTTAAATAGTTCAAATATGAATTAATCTCATGCAATAAATCAATCAAATGTAAATTAACTGTTGTTACTGAATTAATAATTTCAAATAATGTAAATAATTCTGTGAAATCTATTCTATTCTTCATGTTTAATTGTTATATTTTTTTTAAATGTAGATTTTGAATCGCAATAGAATATATTATGTAAATTAATGAAACTATAATACACATGTTCATTAAAATGTTAATTCTTGTATTAAATTGTAACTTGTTATGTAGAAGGAAATTTATAGGAAAAATTGAAAATAGTAAATTTTAAATAACAAAATTTGAAAATACAGCGTAAAACTAGTGCAATTAACCTAATTCTTCAAGTATGAAGGTTAAAATATGAAATTTTAATATTTGTATTTTTATCATCAAACTTAAAGGAAACTATGAGATTAGGTCGTGTACAGTAAAGGTTATTTTTTTATAAATTATCGAGGGTCGCTTGTACCGCAGTAATTAACCTTTTGTTTGTTTGGTTTTTATTTGTTTGTTTTCAGAAGCTCCCATTATTCGAGCAATTATTTATTTAATGTTATGAAACAACATTTTTTTTTGTGTGGAAGTATCAAATAAAATGTGAATTGTTGTTATTGCTTTGTATAAAAGTTCACGTTGAAAACCATTAGTTTGATTGTTAGATTAATATTACGTGAGAGCCTTAAAACGTTATTATTATATATTTATTTTTCTTTTCTTTTTCCTGTTAACAGTTGTGGAAGTAGGAGATGACATAAGTGATTGCCTGGATGACAGGACTTTGGTATTGGCGAATCACCAATCCACTGCAGACGTGCCCCTTCTGATGGCGTGCTTCAACACGCGGAAAAATGTCCTCCCGAATTTAATGTGGATCATGGACAGCCTGTTTAAGTACACGAATTTCGGTATCGTGAGCGTTCTGCATCAAGACTTCTTTATCAAATCCGTAAGTATATATAGTTACGTAGAGATTAAGCTGAACGCGCGCATTTGGAGAACTCTCGTTTGGCCCAAGGCCAAGATCTTAAGTAATAATGAGTGCCTATTATATAATATTCATTAAATTTATTTGTCGGACGGCTCTTCTTGTATAATCGATAGATATAGTAGGTGGAGAAATGTGTAAAGTGGGGAGGTTATGCGATTTAGAATGGACGTGTTCTTAATGTATTCCGTTAATTGCATATTCGCATTGATCTTTGCACTTAAATAATGAACGCGTTTTGTTCAAAGAACGACCGCTATCTCGATTTTTAGCTTTTTCTTTCTCATTTTTAACATTGGCCCGTTTTTCGATTAGATATGCAATCGCCTTTCTTAATTATGCATTACTTTATGGTTTCTAATCCGTAAAGTCATGTGTTTGCATGTCACGAGATTTATATTTGCACAGGAAGTATGAATATAGACATATTAGAGAAGTCTTAATTGAAAGATCAAAAATATATTTTTTTACCTAATTTTATTTGGAATCTATAAAGCAGCTCTACGCAATGAAAAGATAGCTGATCTAAGTATTAACCAAATTACTCGTTGTTTAACTAAGCTGCGAAACATGAATGAAATCCATTCGGTATTCCGAAAGTTGTATTAATCTAACAAACATTTGGTCATTTTGTATAAAATTCTTACAATTTATTTTTGGTCATAATATTTGAATGAATTTGTTTTGTTAAATTTATATAAGGCAGTGAACTGAAAATAACATGAAATCGAATGTTTAACGAAAGTATCCTAAATCTTCTGGTATCTTCCAAACAGTTAACGCGTTGTTCTAATTTATAGGCAATTATTTAGACCATTCTTTCAAAAAGTGCGGCTAAGCCGTAGATTTAGTGAGCCCTAAAAAAACTAATCCATCTGATGTATCAGGTGCTCCATTTGCTATTTTTAGTATGGCGTCAGTCTATATTTTTGCACGCAACTTGCCTCCTGCGTTAAAATATAACGCACTCAAGAAAAATTGGAAAGTTTCATTTACAATATATCTATAGTATTTTTTGAGCTTTAACTACTTACTTTCAATGGAATGGTAATTTAAACTAAGTAATATATCTTCTTATATTCTGAAAGCTGATCTTCCACTTATTATTTATTCATGATTAAACTAATACTTTTACAAAGATGGGAACACTAATAATTAAACTTATAATTTGATAAAGTTTATGTCGATTTCATTATTATAAAAATATAAATATTGTTTATAATTTAACATCGAATTCAAGTGGAATTTAATTATTACATTTGATCTTAAAACTACATTTATTTAATGTTTAGTTTACTACAACTTTAAATATCAATATTTTTTAATATGTGAATGAAACGTATTTATTTATATCTATTTCAACTACCTACGTTCATTTGATATTATAAACACGTGATGTAATCTTTATTGCTAAATGAAATAACGAATATTAAATTGTATAGAATACCGGTACTCATTCTTAATCTATTGTTATGATTGTAAATAGATTTAATTTCTATCATTCCATTTCATATATGCTTTGATTATATTTTAATTAATGTTATTAATGTTAACTTTGGGGGCCCTCGATTAATACAGGTTTGGGACCTCAAATAACACCGGTTGGGTCCCTCAAGTAACACTTTATGGACTAACATTATTTGTTGGCCTACGCAATTAACATAAATTTGGGTTAGTTGTGTTTATTTTTTGGTCTTTTTAATTGAACTGGGCTATAACCTATACCTAAATCCGCTCTGCTCTGCATGGTATATAAATTTGAAACTTAATTGTAAATTGATAAATACCTTGTATTACAAATGGTTGAATCGTCTGTTCACTGCTTAATGCACCGTTCGCAACAGCTAAAACTGAAATGAACATGCACCGATTTGTGGTATCGAAATAAAAAGGATGTTTAGAATATGATATGGACAAAAAGAAAACATAAATATTTATGTTTCGGTTGGCTGTACGTTTTGCAAACATTTGTATTTTTCGCTGTGTATTGTTATAATTTACACATTCGCATTGTTGACTGTTTTCACAAGTTTAATCGATATGTACGCTATGACTCGCTCGATGCAAATTTTAATTACATTTAAAAGCTTTTGGTCCAAAATTTCGAACGTCGATTTTCCTGCAAAATATTTAATTCAATTAATTTAATGAACGTCCATCATTTGCTAATGGACGGCTTTTTTTTGATGCTATTTGTTTGTTTTTATTATGCCAATTAAAATTAATTGAATGTGATAAATAAAGTTAAACAATATCGTATTGTGTATAATATACATTATATATTATATTACCAATTCGGAATAATTGTCTAAGAAAATTTACAATTAAATATTTCAAGGTCGATATTCAATTGGACTACAAACATAGTACTAAAGAAAGAAATAATTTATTACTAATAAATTATAGTTAGAATGTATACTTTATGCGACAAAGTTTATATATAACTCAAACTACAAAGAATGCATTATTTTTTATTAACAATTGTCTCATTTACTTAACGTTATTAACTTAACGTTTAGAATATTACTTTAAATTAAAATGTTCTACCTACTTAGTAGCTGTATTTGTAATTATTAATCAATTGGTGTTCATACTCATGTTGGTCTAACTATATGAGTTGTAACATTTATTTATTGTCTGGCTTATTAACTTCAAACTTTTCTGCAAACTATCATAGATTTTATACAGATAATTCGATAACAAAATAATAATTATGCAGAAAAATAAACAAGTTTATGCAAGTACAATAAAATACTGGTTATTCCGTGTTATCAGTTTTCTGAACTTTTGTTTTATTTTTCTTTTGAAAACTTGAGACATAATATAAATAGAATGCGCAAACAAGGAACAAGTGAAATTATATTATATGTGTGTAATAACACCCAAAAGTTTTATCACAGTTTCATGAATAAAGTAAAACTGCATAAGACAAGATAGTTAGTACTAGTTGTTCTTCGGTTAATAAGAAATCAGAAATCATGTTAATTAAAACCAAAGCTATTCAATACGATAAAAAAATGTTTTTCTCGTTAAATTTCTAAGTAATCAAATAATTATATTTTCAAGTTACAGAAGATAACAATTTTTGTGCTTTCTTTATCTGCTTCGTTTTCATTGGAATCTGATTGTAAAAATGTGTATATTTCTTTATATATTTTGAAAAAGATGTAATATGTCTACAAATAAAGGTTTTTGAACCATTTGCATTTAATATGTAACTGTACTAAAAACTAATTTGGTTTTTTGATATTTACATTCTCGAGTTATCAGCTTATCTACATTATAATAATAGAAATACGCGTATCAAATGATTGAAAATACGTTGTTTGTTCCCAAAATTTGTATCATTACATATTATATTATTTTGCGAGTTTTATAAATTGATACAATTGTATTTTAAGTATAACATGAACTTATAGATAAATTTATAAATTTAAAATTGTATTTTCAAACTGCAAATATACATTAATTTTAATACACTGTAATGATTATTTTTGTTATAACTAAATGTGTTAATAGAAACGTTGTTTTTCAGGGTAAGCAGAAGAGGGATCAATCAGTACAAGATTTGGTTCGTCATTTACTAGAATCTTATATACCTAGGTGTAGGAAATGGATGGTACTATTCCCTGAAGGCGGCTTCCTGCGGAAACGGAGAGCCGTTTCCCAGAAGTACGCCCAGAAGAATAACCTTCCAATACTGAATAACGTGACGCTGCCGAGAATTGGCGCGCTGCAAGCTATAATCAACACAGTTGGACCAGGACGGCCCTCAAACAATAACTCGATTATCGAAGGTAATTTGAACAGCTTTTTATTTTTATATACAGTATTACTTAGAGGTGTTGACTTGCTTTGTTTGTTTTTGCAGAATCGACGAACACGTCGCAGAAACTTGCCTGGATATTGGATATCACAATAGCTTATCCAAATGGGGAACCTTTGGACTTAAAGACTATAATATTCGGACACAAGGCGCCTTGCAAAACGACGTTCTTTTACAGGTTGTATCCTTGCAAGGATGTCCCGCAGGAGAACGAGGCCATGTCGAAGTGGCTGTTCGACAGGTTCGAAGAGAAGGAACGTATGCTGGAGACGTTCTATAAGACGGGACGATTCCCTGTCGACAGCTACAGCAGCAACCCGACGCAGCCTCAGCTCGTAGCGCAGGACTGTCTAAGGTTTCTCATCCTACACCTATTCTTTATCACGTCCACCTACATTCACGTGCAGATGTTCTTGGCCGCCTACGATTATTATCATTACCTTATCAATTAGCACATGGCCGTTGCTTCTTTGGTCTATATCATTGAGATGTATTATATTTAGGGAGAGCGAGGATCAGATTTGTTTTCCTTTTTCGTGTTTTCTTTTTAATTATTATCATTGTTTACTTATTGATTTTTACCCATTCACCCCACCTATTTGTTGATTTTTTTAAGTATACTACACAGGAAGAAGATCGATTTATTTATTTATTACTTATTATTCTTTTTCTAACGATTAATTTATAAATAAATTTCATCTGTACATAATTATTATTTTTTAAATTATTGATTTCTCTTCAAATCTATTTCTTCAACCACCCTAGTCATATTAGTTCCAAATCTTTTTATACTAATTTTTATTTTGTGATTAGATATTTTTGAATGAATTCATCCCAGTTACCAAATCGTTTTATTTTTTTTTTAATTAAACGAGCAAAAAAATGTGTCCTGTGTAGATTATAAGTTAGGTTTATTTTTTTTGTAAGATCGAAGCAAGAATCTCCAAATATAATAGACCAAAAAGGCAAATGTTGGCGAAATTATACAAATTTATAAAGAAATATTTACATAAGCATTATCAAACGATTTAAAAAACTACTTATTATTTTTTTTTTTCGATGAAATTCTCAACTTTGCTAAAACAAAATTACTGAAAAATTAGTATGTTTAAATTGATTCTTTTATATTAAACACCTGTAAATTCTAATTACATGTTTCGTCAATAATGGTTCAAATGGAACAACTATAATAGAAAATTATTCTTCAAATTAATCGTAGTTTACTTGGAACAATACGCAGTTATAAATATTGATTGATTTGAAAATGTAACAATATTTCTCTAATCGTAGTAATGAGGCACTTTTGCAAAACATAAATGTACATAATATGTAAGGATGAATAATATTTATAAGTATAGATTTTTTCCAATTGATCGTTGATGTTCCGAATTCAATCAATATTTATACGAAACGTGATATTTTTTTATTATTGAAACAGAAGTCGATATTTAATAACCAGAGTGTATTCAAAATTGGTTTAAATCGTTTGTTTAATACACAATTAATACGAATTGCTCAAAACGTGATGATCATGAAAGACAAAACATTTGTGGTAATAGCTGAGAACTAGGATGAAGATGTTCCTTCTCTACGAAACTGTGAATCGGTGGCGTTTAGCTTGTAATGTGTGTCGACCAAGAAATGGAGATGGATGGACTGTACTTGAATTGTTGCAGGGTGAGAGGAAAAGTTTTCCGTGTGTAGTTGTTTTTCTCGATGTTCGTTTAAGCAGCGCTTGATAATCCATCCGATGGAACCGATGGATTCCCAAGTATTATTTTTGTATTGCGAGGAATTATATCTATCTATACATATATATTATATACGTTGCCATTCCAATTTCTCTGTGCTTGTTACTTTCCAAGTTTGGAACCGCACATTTCAGCTTAATCCACGAGGATCTTCGGTTTCCTTCTTTTTTTCAGATAAATATTGTAACTTATTTACTTAATGATATATGCGACCTTTATGCGTAAATATATGGATGTTTTTTATGTGTGTACATATATGAATATTGCTGTATAAAAAGAAAACAATATCTCCTGATTTCGGTTACTATTTGAAAAGTGAGAGAGAATGAATATCGATGTTCCTTTATAACGATTTTAAACACGGCTGGCCTAATTAACAGAATACATAAAGTATGATACAAGAAGGGAAGAAACAGGGCGTGCTGATGGGTATAAATCAAAAGGAATCAATGAGGAGTTTGGAAAATTTAGATACTGAAATGATGAAGATGGAAATAGCAAAATCGCACTTTTGCATTGTTTACAAGTAAAAAGAAATTATATATATATATGATATAAAAGAAAAGAATAAATTGAGGATAAATTATATTGAAGCCAAAAAGTCTTTGCGTCCACGTTGCCCTTATACAGTAATATACAAACGGATTAACTGATATATCTTAATTGAGAATTAAAAAAAAACGTATTCGTTGAGCACTAAATCTCGCATTTTCTGCAAAGCTTTTGGATAAGAGAAAATTGTATTTTGAAAAAAAGGAATAACTAACAATCATCGTGCCGTCAATTGATTTTGATTTATTTACAATTGTTCTTATTTTGGAAGCGCAACTTTTTGGAACGAATTTATATTGTGTAGGTGATGAAGCTGATGATGATAGGGAGATATTTTGTTAGGATAATTGGATTGTTGAAGAGCGTGATGACAATAAAAAAAATTGAATTCTTGTGTTTGCGTTATCTTGTTTTTTTTTTTCGATGCTGCGATTTGTGTATTGCTGTATAAGATATATTTGTACTATGTGATTATTAATAATAATTGTTATTAAGACGGTAAACAGAACATTCTTGGATTATAGCTTCGTTTCATTCATTTTGTATATGCGATTAACAAAAGAAATGAAGATGAAATTACGTAATTTTTATTATCAATGTTTCTCTGTTTCAGTACACGACTTTTATATAAATCTTAGGTAAATAAAATTATAGTTATAAATTATCTTTTTTCTCATTCTTCTATTTAATTTACTTATTTATTGTAAATTTGTTACAAACTGTGCGTTTGAAAATCTATTTTATTCTTTGTATTAAAGCGTTGTTTATATAGATTTATTTTTAGGTTTATGTAAGAGTTCTATAGATAAAAGTAAGTAAATTTTATTAGGTTTTCCGTCATCTTGAGTCTAAAATCTTTAACAAATTAAATTTCTCTAATAAGACACAATTCTCATTGAAATTGTCGAAAGTTGCAGTATTGTTTTGATTGTTATTAAAATTTCTTTAAGCATCATGCACCAGTTGTATATCGTTTCTTGCAATTTTAGCAAAAAAAATCTGCATACAAATATCCCTGTTTTTATTATGAGCAGTTTTCAAAAAAAAAAATAATATTAATAAAACCACACGATGGCGAACTTTGATAGTGAAAAAGAAAGTTTTCTTCAAAAAAAAAATATATATTACAAACTGACCAAAATTCGGTCACAATTTCTATTTGACATGAGCGACATAAAATGTGCAGTTTCAGGTGAAACGAACGACGAAAAAATAATATATTTAATGTAATAAATATGACGACAAAGTCGAAATGGAACTAGAACACATTATGTAATTAAACGAAAACTTTTCCATTTATAATTCAATATCTGCTATCTTTATTAAATAATTAATTAATTTGATAAATAATTTATACTGTTCTTTATAAAGTTTCATCTTTAATATCTAATTAAACGGATGAACAGTTTCTGTCGTTCTTTATACATAACTGGAATCAATTGGTCAGACTAGATTGTGCACATCTGCAAGTTTACAGTTACTTCTTTCTTCGAATTAAACGTACTTTGCTCATTTTTTTCATTAACAAATTAATTAACATTGTGTTAATAATAATAACATTTATTGTAAAAATCATACTTATATACTCAAAAAAACAATATAACATGAAAATAACAAAATATGATCTGCTACAAGGGGCTATTGACCATAGGATTATAGCGTTATAGGCTCAAACAAATAACATTTTGTTATATTTCAAATAACAATTATTTATAATTAGATTCAAGTATCATATAGTTAGTAATGAATGATTGAAGGTTTAAATAACAACAACAAAAAATATGATCATGGCTTTAATATATTGATTTTTATTTACTTTTACTTAAATGTATTATTTCTATTTTAATAATATACAGATTCTAAATTCATACGAATTGTACATTAAATGTGATATAAAGATATTATTTAGAATTTCATCAAAATGATTAATGTCTCAATTATATTGATCTTTATCTTATTTTTTTTTTTTAATAATATGTAAAGTCAATGATTGAGTAATGAAATGTTAAAGTAACAATATTTCTTTATCAAAATTTATTTGTTATGATATGATATGAAATAACTAAATATGAAATAACTATAGTGTCTTATCAAAATTATTATTAATAACAATAATAGGAAATTTTCATTTTTTAAACATTAAAAAATATGCCTTTTTTTAAGTATTAGTTTTTGTTAGGAGCATAATTTATTAACTTTCTTACATTTACCACGTTCTTCATGTATTCATAATGTAATATTCGCCTTCTTCTATGCATACCATGAAATATGTAATAGCATTACCTTTAATTTCTGAGTTTATTCAGAAGAGTTTGAGGTCTTTTAGATTTGTTGCTCTTGAATAATGTTCGGCAAACTATGGCTCTGAAATAGAAAAAAAACTGTAATAGTTTAATTTATAACATGTCTAAATTATTGAGGCAAACCTCTCACTCGAGGTTTGGCTCTTCCATTTCAAACGTTCTAGATTCTAGAAGTATTCGTTCTTCTGCAACGTATTACCAATTTAAAAACTATAAGAAATGTTACTTATTTTTTGTAATTTATTGAATACACATAATGTAAAAAATCTTAATTATCATTTATTTACAATGAACTTTGTTTTAAAATGAAGAACTTTTGAATAACATTTATGTTGTTATAAAATACATTTTAATATATTGTTTTTTTTAGTATTTATTATAAATGAGACAAGTTTTTATCTTATTTACTAATTAATATTTTTCTTTATAATTATTTAGTTACAAGAAACTTTGTTACACTTAATTGTTTTTTTTTGCTATGCACACTGTAAATGAAGAAGTTTTGAACTTCTGATATTTATGTTTCGGAATAATTATTTATTTACAGGGGTATGAAGATATTTTAAAGTTCAGATCATATTTCCTAATATATTTTTTTAAATACTGTAAATTCATACTTTTTTTTTTAATTATTTTTTTGTTACAATTACTATCAAAATGCATGTTTTATTTTTGGTATGCAGTGCGATGGAAGAACTTTTGAACTTCTGTACTTGTTTAATTACAATAACCAGGTGGCATTCGATACTGTGCGTAACACGAAATTGAAGCGCGCTTCCTCCTTCCTCGCCCGACAGTGAAATGCTTTCTTTTACACGATCCGCCGGACTTCGTGCATATCTGCTTCAAGAAAACAACAACAACAATAATAATAACAATAAAAAATAAATGCGTTCCCTCCACATCGTGCCCCCCATTTCTCTATCTATCTGTCTTTCTCTTTCTTCACTTGACTTCTGTTTATCCAGAGGCCTCCTGCCCAAACAAAATCCAGCGTTTAAAGACACACATACCATACGACCTTCTTCTTCCTCTTCTCGTCCACTGCAAAATCCGCTGGTCACCTTTACCATCACTACCATCGAGCCTCTTCAAGGAGATGCATCATCTCGAGAAGAGCTCCAATAAAATCGATCACGCCACAACACACAAACACAAATAAACCGCAAGTGAAATTTGCCCGGTCGGACTTTTGAAATTATGTTAGTGATCTCACGCAAGAAGATTCAACAGTGCCGACGACATCGGATGTTCACTTACTAAAGGATCTTTACTTTCTAAACTTCAAAGGTAAATTATTTATTATTACTATAGTTTAATTATAATTCAATTATATTTCATCATTTCAACTGAGAAATGTCAAATACAATAAAAAATAGACAATACTATGATGATTTTGTCTCTAATTATCCATAAAATTCGGCATCAATGCGTATTATTTAATTATTTATATTAACTGTAGCAAACAAATAATGTTTGATATACAAATAATGTGAATATTTTTTAACTTAAATTTTGCTTTGTAATTAAAAGAAGGATTTTAATTATTTTTATCCAAGTTTTTGAGATAATAATTAAGAATTCAATCTTCGTCATCTTAATTAGTGAATATTGGTTCAGTTATCTGGAACTAAGTAATAAAACTCTACTAAATCTTTAGTAATTAATAGGAATATCTATAAAACTCAAACATTTTTGTATCATTTGATTATTTGATACATGATTATTCCCAAACTAAAGTACATATGTAAAGTTCAAGTAAAATGTATCTATTTTAAAGAATTGTCAACTTTATATAATATATTGTATAATTAGTCAAGTTTAAGAAATTGACATAAAATAAAATATTATACATTTCTACATCTTCTATTAAAAATTACATTAATTTTAAATTAGTGATGACGTTTATTAGTTTTAGTTATTTTGTTTTGTTACTAATTGTTATTACCATGGAAATATACAGAAAAAATATATTCTTGGACACAAAAACATGTTATCAAATGTTTATGTTATTCATTAATAAATAAAACTCACAACTACTAGATTATAATTCCTGTATATTTTTTAGTTGTTAAATTTAGATAGTTTGAAAACTTAAATTTAATACAATAATAAATAGTAATTTATAACAACTTTAAGAGATAACAGTCTGAAAACTATCCAATTAAATTAGGACTAATCAATTTTTAAATTACGTAAATCTTGCAGTGATTTCTAACAAATTTAGTAGATTACTAACTGAAACTATCTAATCAAGATTGATCAAATTAACTGAAATAGTACTAATCAATTTTTAAATTACAATAATCCATAAATAAAAGTACAAACATACAATTAATAGACTTTTTTTTAATTGCAAACATTATTTTATATAGTTTTAATGTTATATTATTTATATTCTCTATTTTTAATTAATATAGCAATTAATCATTTCCTCATTTCTATATTCACATCAAAAATAGAAATATACATAAAACTACATACAAATGCTGTAAAATAAACAGAACTAATAAACTATATTATTTGAATTATTTATACTACATGAATAATTCAACAAATTTAGTTACTTGAAATTCTTTTTTATCTTTATTTTATAGCATTTGTATGTATATTAACCAAAATATGTTTTGTAGATCCAATTATTCAACATTGTATGCTTTCCGTTTATTCAAATCCCACGATTTGTAATACTTTGCATATTTTTTCAACCTGAATAAAATGAACGTTTATTTTATATTATTATTATTATTAGTTCAGTGAAATTAAGATTTCGACGTGGATAAGATTCAAAGAACAAAACGTTGTGTTAATGATGCGACTCATCTGAAAGAAATTTTTTTTTACCTCAACCAATTAATTAACGTACAATGATTAATGAATCATAAATTTGAAAATATCTGGTTTTTATTAAATATTTTTTGCTCATCCGACGAATAATTTATGTTGTTATTATGTAAATTTAAATTCCGCGATTGAGCCGAATCGATTCGGAATTGACATAGAAAACGTGAACGACAATGCAAAAAACCATAAAATCTGACACACAAATTAAATATTCTTTTCATTCGTTTCGATTGGAATGTAATAAATTAATTCTTTATAATTGTTATCATTGCTTTCATGGATTGTTTTTTTATATGTTAATTAATTATATGCATGTTTTGTCAATTTATCGGACTATTTGAATCTGGACTAATCGAGACTTGACTGATTGTGTACTGATCTTTTAGAATTTACTTTTGCTTTGCTCAATTCAAATTTGGTTAGTTACAAAAATTTCAAATCGGGCTGTTGTTAATTAGGACTTATAAAAACCGCACTATGCGAGGTATTACTATACACATAATTCAATTTTGCTAATATATTTTTATTACATCAATTAGGATTTGTTTCTTAAATAAATTATAACTGTTCATTACCTAATTGTTAAAATCTATTCATATTTAAAATATATTAATGTCTTGTTATTACTTGAACGCAAAATTAAAGTAACAATTAGAATGCATCAATTTTTTTATTGCACATTTCCGTTGTTTATTGTTTTTAATGCAAATTTGATGCGAGTTTAATGAACGAAATTAATGGACTTCAACAAATGGCCTAACTAATGTAATGTACATTTTCTGATTGCTTTCTATATTAACAACACTTTCTTTGCATTTTCCAGTCTCAACAATTGTTTATTACTGGAATAATCTACATCATCATCAACACACAACTCCATGGAAGGAAGTGAAAACTATTCAAAGTGGTAACCGAAAGATGAAGTGAATATTTCGGAGTTCTGTGTGTTGTGTCTCGAAAATCACGAGGAAAAATTAATTGCGACCAAGCAATTATCTTTCTTTTTATTTACGAAGCAAACAGAGTGTTAAATTCACGCGCTTTGGAGGATAGAGAGAACTTTGGATGCGAATAAAAATCGAACGAGAAGTGCTCCAATTTCTGCCGATTAATTTCCAATCGATGCTCTCGAATAGAAGTTTCCATCAGGAATTATTGTGAAATCTACACAGACAGAATGAGGTAAGCGATTTAAAAATACTTCCACCACTCATCCAACAAATATTATATTTTAATTAGAATTTAATTGCAAAAACTATTTGGAATCTTCCAATATGTTTTTATGTTTCTAATATGTTTTTTTTTACGTCAAACGATTGAAAAGAATAATACAAATCAATAATTTGAAAAAAAAAACACTAATTTAGTAAATACTTCGCACTGTTTGAAACCGGACTAATTGAGGACTTTAAAACTGCATACAAATAAAGCAGGCAAAAGGAGACTTGGATGTATAGAGGAAAACAATTATATTTATATTTTGCTCAATTAAAAGTTAGTTTGCATTGAAATTATAAAATCGGACTATAATGAATCCGGACTGATGGAAACCGCACTAAGTGAGGTATTACTGCATACATTTATTATTTTGATGATCTAGAACATTTTCTCATTTACTACTAAAAAATATTCACAATATATTATACTTGTTAATCCAAATGTATATGATAAATTCTCTATATAATCATTAAACAGTATAATTATTCAATATTTGACCGAAAAAACATAGTTTTTAGACGAAATCTAATAGTTTCACCTAATTAAAACTGATTTGAGTAAATAATATGAAACAGACATTTAAATACTAAAACTTGTTATTCATTAATTCTCATTTGAAGTTCAAATGCGGGTTTCCAGGTTAAACAGTTTTGTTTTGGTAAACTAGAGTTTTGGAAATGATGAAATTTGTTTTTTTTATATAGATACATTTAAATGTATGTATATTTTTTCAAATTATCGATAATGCGACATGCATTTCTGACCCAAATACCTCCAAAATGTATTGGAAAACTTAGAAATTGATGCATACTTAATCGAACGTCTAGTCAATGCATCACAATTTACTTTCTTTTAAATTTAATTAAATTTATTTATATACAAATAATTTTGGGTTAATTATGTCTCTTGGACATCGATTTTTATCTCGTAATTACCTCGATTTATAATCAGCACGAATTGGAAGTATTTGGATATTAATAATTCATAGCGAAGAAATTTGTTTACAAGTAGTTTTTTTTTTAATTTAATAGAATAATTATTCATATGTTTACAGTTGTTAAACTTGTTCTCTTTTTCACATAAATATATTTTTAATTTATATTTTGTGGATACACGAAATTTCTGTGAAATACGGAAATTAAATTTGATACAGTTACGAAAAGTGTATAAATATGAACGGGTTTACTTAATGTTTACCTTCTCTGATGAAATAATAAGAATGAAAATACAAGTACATGTATTTCCTCGACTTACGGACTAGTTTCAATCCAAAGGGTTGGTCGTAATTCGAATTTGTTCGTAAGTCGGGGGAATTTTAAAAATATACTTATTTTACCACACTTTATCACGGTTTTTACGTTTATATATGTTAAATTTCGTATTACTGACTGCATAAATTTGAAACAAATAGATTAAAATAAACAAAATACTTACTTACAAATACTTTTGAATGTAGACATCACAATTAGTTAATAAAAAAAAGAAACAAATGCAACAAAACAGACATCTTCCAAAAATATTACATTTCATTATAGAAATTATCAATTTTTGTTTAGACAGTTTTTATCACTATAAATCTCCTTGTAACAAGTTAGAGCTTTTATAATTTTGTTCGTAAGTCCGGGAGTTCGTAAGTCGGGAGTTTGTTAATTATATTTATGAGCTATATTAGATATTTTATTATGAACTAAATAATTTAGATTAAAGTTTTTTTTACTATTCTACGTTTAAGAGTTTTTGGTAGATTTGTATCTATAAATATTAAGAATATTAAAATAATTAAAAATAGTTTGAGGCTACCATTTAATTAATATTACTAATCATATATTGGACTACATTACTATATGTTTGAGACTAATTAGTTCTTATTGATTATTTCTATTTATACGAATTAATTATTATTACACTATTTATTTTTTTGGGAATAATGTAAATACTGTAATACCTTGCACAGTACGGTTTTGGTCAGTGCGGATTCACTATGGCACGGTTTGAAAAACTAAATATTAATTGAGCAAAATAAATTCTAAATTAGTTTACAAAATTATTTGATACGGTTTCAAACAGTATCCCGCACTATGGCTAAACCGATTTACCGCACTATGAGAGGTATGCTTACTATTTGTGAAATGTAAACTTACATCTTGAAGAAGAAAATAAAAAATAATTAACAAATATTTCAGAAACAGAAAAAAATAGGAAAATTTCCAATTCAAAATTAATGTAATTAATTTATTAAGACATAATAATTTATTAGTGAATTTAAATTCTTAATTGCTAAAGAAGAAATTTTTTTATTCAATATATTTAAAAAAGTAGAAATAAAAATAAACAAAAAAGATTAAAGATTTGGTTAAATTTAAGTGCAAATTCTGTTTTCTTTTCTGCTACATTTTCTTCTAAATAGTGATGTTATAGAGAATTAGCGTAATGTTTATTTCTTCTTTTGAGTAATATAAAGATGTTTCAATAAATTAACATTTCTCTTCGTGTTTTTTTGTTAAAACTGATTTATATATTAACTCTTGTCTCCATTTATTCAATTATTTTTCAATGACATCTAAAATATAATAAATGATTAAGTGTGCCTTGCAAAATGAACTATAGTTTTTAGTGTGTCTTGAGACGAACACAGTTGAAAATTATTTATGTTAAGATATTTTTTATAAACTTATATATTAAAATAATCAATAGATAATTTTGATTAGTTTAGTGTCTGAATGTATTCATACTTATTCAAAATAGATGTTAAAACGGTATCTTCAACCTTGTTTGATCAATTGTCTTCCTCGCTCTATTGCCTCCAATTTGGTTTATAACGTTGTTTTTAACATAGGAATCTTACTTAAGGAATTGCATTTGCAAGCAGAGGCAAACTCCCTTGGTGAGTGCCATTCGACGTTCTTTTAATGTTGTTCATTCAAATCTTTGCACATAACAGTAGATATAAAGCCGTTCAAAACACTGTTTTTTTTTATTCTATTTTTGGATATTAACTACAAGTTAGTTGTTAGTTCCTAATTTTAATAAAAACAAATGTATTCATAAAACTTGAAAGATGGAATTTTTGTATTGAACAATAATTTGATTTATAACTGTTTTGTCTATAACTTTTTTTCATCTTTCCACAAGTTTTCTGGAAAAAAATCTCAAAAGCGCGATTTTGCAGATATCTAAATAAGTAATATTTTGTATTATAGTCAATCTACTTAATCTGATCATTTCATCGCCCGGTTTTGTTTGTACTTTTAATTTTCAAAATTATGTCACAACAAATCATCTTTACATTTGAATAAATACGATTTTTTGCAAAAAGAAATCTTCGTAAATAAGAAAAAATAAGGTTATTGAAATTATAATTTGCTTTATTATTGATATATTTTGAAATGGAACAGAAATGCGTACAGTTACGATATCAATTTATCGCAGTTTAGAGGCAAATTTTACAAACGCGACGAGTCTATTGAGCATAACATTGGAGACATTTTAAGAAGAAAATATATAAAAAAAGGCATGCTCCAGATGTTGGAAAATCTTCCAATCGTTGAAGAATTCCCATTTGTGTCTGTGTGTGATTCTCGGGGCTTTCCTTTCCGTACCTCCTGCATCGTTGCACTAAATTGCAGAAAAATTGCCAACTTCACACGGCAAATTAATTTGTGAAACAATGAGGAAGAGAGAGAAATAAAGATTAGAAGAAAATAAATATAACTCGAGTTCTGGTGAAGATGAGTTCAGGTCGTTGGAAAATTAGCAATTACAGCTGCTGGGCACGAAGTATGAAATTGAATTACTTAAATGTCATAATATACTTACTGCACTTTTATCATTATTGCACACGCTTTCAGTTTGCTTTTAATACAGTCTTAACGTAAGCATTGAAAATTATAAGTAGTTGTAATAGAAGTACACTTTTAGTTTTACTTCGTCAATGATCTCAAAATAAATGATTGAAAATTAATTAACGCATTTTTAGGACAATAAGAGGAATATTTTTATGAAGAGAGATAAAATTACATTTTTTTAAATTTTCATAAATTTTGGTTCGAACCCATGAAATGATAGCAGTTATCTTCTGTTAATTCTTCAAAAAAATTTATATTATAAACTAATGGGTTGCAAAAAGGTTAAGAAACTTAGTTTTAGATGACTTAGTGTGAACATTATTTAATGAATTTAAACAACGTGTTTGTAGACTCAAGAAATGTAATATTTTCGACATTAATTGTAATTTGTATTGAACATTTTATAATGTTTTCTTTCTCGTTTATCATTGTTAACCAATTTGCTGTTGTCTTGGCAATAAATTGGAAATAAATATAGATTCATTATTTTAAATATTATATTAAAATTTAGTTTTGATAAGATATTTTAAATTCATAAACACCTACTATTTTTTTTTATATGAATGACCTAAAATTAATCCAATTTCCGATTCACGTCATGGCCTAAAACAGCTTTCATCTGATAGCAAGTGTCTATAACATCACGTTCCATCCTCTTCGGACATGTTTCTTTCTTCCAAATTCATTTTACGACTAATTTATGGTTGCCCAATTTGATGCATCCTTAATGCGTTTATTCCTCAATTTCTTTGGAGTTGCGCAAGAACTTTGATTCTAAATCTGGGCTAATATTAATGTAAACTTATTTGTAAATATACATACTATAATATATATACTTATTTGTTAAAATACATTTTAATCTATTTTCCACAAGATTTTTAGTTCAATATTTTGAAAATTTGTTAAACTCTAAAAACATTTTATACAAATCATTAATAACATTCATAAAATAATGCTACATTTTGTACAGTAATTTATGATTATTGTTGTTATCATAAGCAAATTAATAAGAAAATTTTGTAAATATGATGAAAGTAAATTTGCAATGAAGCGAATTAATGATTTTAATAAGATAACATACAATAAATAATTATTACACAAAGATTTTAAAATATTATA